TTTATTACTCTCAAAACTTTGCTCATTTATTTGTTCACTTTAAATTTCCATTTTTTGCATACTCGCTCAAATTCATCCACCAACCTTTGCAACTTTTCTTTAGATTCTTTTTTTGCCACCAGCAAAAAGCAACTGTAACAGCTCCTCTTTGAATCAGATTCATTATCTTTTAAGCCTGCACCTCTCACCAACACTCCAGAATTCAATCTTCCACAATCTCATCTATATATACAGTAAACCATGGTGACATCACACATCCCAGTTTGGGGCTTACTTTTATGTAGTGGAAAAATAGTCCCCCTCTCTCTTACATGCTCTAACTTGAGCCACACTCTCCACATGAAAACTCTTTACATCCATCACATTGCTTCATAATCTGCCGTCACAAATATAATACAGCAAATACAGTGGACCCCCACTTAACGATCACCTCCCAATGCGACCAATTATGTAAGTGTATTTATGTAAGTGCGTTTGTACGTGTATGTTTGGGGGTCTGAAATGGACTAATCTACTTCACAATATTCCTTATGGGAACAAATTCGGTCAGTACTGGCACCTGAACATACTTCTGGAATGAAAAAATATCGTTAACCGGGGGTCCACTGTACTATGAAAAAACAAAATACATGTAATTACAAAAACATTAAAGGACAAAAATGGTGATACAAGAATATTAAAATGTGGCACAAAAACACTAAAAAAAAAAAAAAAACACACACACACACAAGAACATTAAAAACACTGCACGTCAAGACTCGACAATAAGGTTATGAGGTGCGGTGAGGATTTAACATATGATAAAAAATGCAAAAATTTAAAATGCATGCCCACAAACTTGGATACAATAGTTTAGAATGACATACTTTTAACCATGCAATTTTAACCACAAGCAGAAAATATTCAAAGGCTATTAAGACAGAAAAGTTACTTTTAAGTCAGCTTAAATTTTTATAAATGTTTGTGTTAAAACCACAGAAAACATTTATTATGGTAAAATACAGAAAACAACAGTTTGATAGAAGAGAAAAACAATAAAAGCATGAAATTTATGAATCTGATACATTCACCATTTTAAGTTTAAGCTCTTTTACAAGTGTTCCAAACTGATATACTATCTCCAACTCTCATCCAAACTATGTTCCCAACTAAGAGTGAAAAAGGCAAACCAATCTTCAGAGAATAATAAACTACTAAATCTGTTCATCTTTGTTTCATGCAAATCATAAAATAAAGATGAAGTCTACATATATGCAGGCCCTACTTTACAGCACTTCACTATGTAGCAGCTTTCATTTATACCCAGTCTTAATTGTTTTCAGACTTCCTACAATTAATATATTCACCACTCATTATAAGCTAATGACAAAAATATTTTAAGATAAGTAATGTGTGTGATGTATATGCATTTTTTAGGCCTAGCTCTAGCGCTCACTTAACCCTTTCAGGGTCGACAAACCCTCTCCCAGACTTGTTCTCATGAAAAGATAGAGAATCTTTTCCCGATCATAATGACACCAAAAGTATGAAATTTGATGGAAAACTTACGGAATTATGCACTTGTGAAGTTAGCGGTCTCGACGATGTTTACGCATCGGCGATTTTGCCCACTTTGAGCCCTATTTTTGGCCAATTCCAGTGTACTAGTCGACAAAAATCATAACTATTTCGCTAGAACTCCATTTTTTCTATCGAATGAGTACAAAAAAACTGACCCATTTACCCATTTCAACTATCCAATAAAGTAGTCAGAATTTAGCAATTTTGCCAATTTCACACAAATTTCAAAAGATGCCAATTTCCAAATAGGGTCCAGAATAAATAAGAAAGACATTCCTGGCACTAAAATAACATTTCCTCTGTTCATTAGTCACTTCCTCATGCCCCTCTTACATTCTTTTGCTTTCCACTTTGAATTTATATTCTCACAAAAAATAGAAGATTTACTGTTATGCAGACTACTGCATTAGTGTAAAAATGGTATAAATACTATCAGCGCACTTGTGAAATAATATCAGACTCACCAGTTGATGTGTATTGGACGCATAGCATGATTTGTTTACTTTTGAACTTTGGCAAAAATCGAAGATTTCTGCTACTTTGAGCTCAATTTCAAGGTACTTTTTATTGTAAAACCAAGCAAAATCGTCTCAATTTCTGTAATATGTCTTCCATTCTATAAAATGAGACCAGGAAAACTAGAATACCATCATAAATACTATACGAAAATACAGTGCAAAGTTGCTGTTTTAAACCATTTAAATCATTACGCCACACTGTGTGCTACAGGATTTTTTTTATACTGCGCACACTGACCACATAAACCCATTCTTTTATATGTAGGCCTATCAGCTTTCTCTCACTAGATTAGAGGGCGCTAGAATTTAGGCGTATTAGTACGTCAAAAACCCTGGTGCGTAAGCTGCACTAGTACGTCAGAAACCCTGAAAGGGTTAATACCATATATGACAGTGTAAACATGTTATTAGGCCTTTATATGCATTTGTAAGTGAAAAAAAGGCTATGTTTCACTTTACAGCAGTAGCCCACCTGCATAATAAACTTATAGATAGGTGGATGAAGGATGGGAAGAAATGTTGCAGCTCAGAGGGTCATTTGAAGTATGATATCTGTGCACTTCTGGCAAGACAGCTACTGAATAAGTGAGGGTGAATGTGATTCCTTCACTGAGTTGTTTTGCACTGGTAGAAAATGGGTAATGTGACATAAAAGATAAAAAACATAATACATGAAGAAGAATGAAAAATACAGTGAAAATTGCAAAACACCTAAGTCAAAATGAGAAAACATATTCATTACAGGAATTTGTTAAGTTTGAGAAAGGAGACATCACTAGCGTGTGAATGTGGCAAAAGATGAGAACCACTATCAGGAGAGTGATACACAATTTACCTCTTCTATGATTGTACTTTGTGGACACTTAAAGCAAGCCAGTTTCCAGATTTCCTATGATTTCAATTTCAAACATCGTAACACCCTCAATATACTGCACAGACATTTAGCTAGACTTGGAAAAAAGTAAAAACAAGCACATGCAACAATGAAATTAAAAAAAAATGACATCTTGTAAGTGCATGCACACAATGCCCTTTTTTGTAGTGTGATAAAGCCATCCCAGTTATGTATATCCCACATGCCCTCTCCCAGAGTACAGAAGACTCAGTCATAACAGCAGCTATACGTCACCATCTCAGCACACATCTGCAGACTCCTCCATTCTGACAAATACCCTTCTAAACCTCCAGATTAATTACATAATGAAATGTTATTCTTCCAATTATCATTTCTTTCATGAGACTCCTATCAGTTCTCTAACACCAATATTTATATATTCAAATAAATGATTATGAAAAGATGAATTCCTGGCATTTTATTCCAGAACAAGCCTCGCGGGGAGGGAAATTTGTAGTTCTAGATCTTTTGCGCTCTCGTGTGTCATTAGGAACTGTACAATGTTGCAAGACTAGCAACAGACAGGAGAGGAAATTCTGAGTCAAGTACATCTGAGGCAGCTGCCACTCATGCACTTCTGCCTTGCTTCAAGAGAATTTCCCCTTCTATGTGTTGCTAGTCTTGCAACACTGCATAGCTCCTGATGCTCCAAGTGTGAAAGATCTAGAGCTAAAGATTTCCATCCTTGTGTGGCTTATTCTGCACTGTTAAGATCACTTGTTTGTGATTGTGTTGCATTTTCTTCCATATTCATTTTGCACTACCAGAGGAAACATTGCCAGAACTGAGGCCTGGATGTAAAACCATGTCTGTTTGGTTTTAAATTTTGCCAAAAAGTTCTTTCCAAGAATAATTAAAATTTCATAAAGGAATTCATTTGAACTAATTAACCATACCATAGTATAAATACATACTGTATTTATGTTTTGGGTTTAGTTTAATCAAGTTTAGAATCAACGTTTCATCATCATTTACTCCTCAAACAATTCATAAAACTAGCGAGAGAACAACATTTAACTAATAAGATTCAACTTAACAAAAATCTGGTGTATAAGAAATGCAATCTATCTTCTATTACAACAAAGTATGGCACAGGCACTGGAGACTGTAAAAAAAAATAATGACAAATGCTGAGTGGAATGACACTGCCAATAAATGGAGTAAAACAAAAAGAGTTAGGAACATTTCACTCAGAATTACCATGAGCAAAATATTATTCAGTTTAGGTCTACCTTGTCAATGTCAGTGTTTCACTGAAAATGTTGAATCTCCAAAATACATGTGAATACATTTATCTTAGACTTGTACCAGATTTTTAACATGGTATCATACAGTGCTGTATTATCCAAATTAATTTAAACCTGATTCATTATTTTGCTATAGAGTACAGTACAGTGAAACCTCAGTATGATGGACTAACTGTATGGGGGTATCCATTTAAATGAAAATGTGTTGTATTGAAATGTTCAATGCAACAGACTTGTCCGTTATATGCAGAACCCACAGGACACGTGCACGAATGCTAACAGATAAAAGCTCAATGCACCAGACTTGGTCTATTGTATATTATTATTATAATAAAAAAGAAGCGCTAAGCCACAAGGACTATACAGTGGTCTATTGTATAAGGAGCTTACTGGATGGACACACACACACACATCACTGCTAGTGGGTAAAATTTTGATGCAGCCGACTTCGCCAGTTGCACTCAACCTGTGTCTGGCCAAATATTTTGTCAGTTATATCTAAAATTTAAAATCTGTTACACAGAGATCGTTTTATTGAGGTTTTACAGTACTAACAGTCACTAAGAAATAATAACTTTTACTTTAATTTCAACATTGCTGTTTTTTAAGTAATTTGTGACAACAGCAACATTGATACCCCAAAAACATACACTTCAATTCCTTTACATATTTGTTAAAATTAAATGAGATAATTTTTTATCTAAAAACTAATTACATGTCTATAATTCTGCAGAGAAATACTTCTTACAAACCTTGAAACAAATAAAAGCTTCAAAATCTCAAGGCATTACCTTCAAGTGTGACGACTTTGCCAGCTCTCTTCAGGGCACGTACTGCTTCATCATGCGTGGCCTCCTTCAGGTCTTCCCCATTGACAGAAAGAATAGCATCTCCTACATACAGATTCTCTGTCAGGTCAGCAGCCATACCCTGTATTAAAATAAAAAATATATAAAAATTTAACATTTCTCCATTGCCCTAATTAGCAAGTGTATGGATGAGGCAACCCCACAGCCCAACAAGAGCATGCATGTATGAGTATAAACAATAAACTGGAATGGGTGGCCTATGGGTCAGGAAACAGGCTCTGGACATAGCCTCTTTGGCCCTCACCAGACAAACATTTGAGTAAGCAGACTTGGTTCAATACCTCCGAAGACAACTGGATACTATGGCTACAGACAAAATACAGAATTACGGACTTTTGTTCATTCTGTCCAATAATTTTTTTGTGAGAAATTGTAGAAATTCATTAATGAGAGGTTTTACTGTACTGTACACATAATTTACAGATATATTGCAATAAACATTGAAAATAAAACAGATTTTGTCTATAATTTTAAAAGTCCATTATACTGAAGGGTTTATTGTACAACAAAAGAATCAGTGTAGCTCAAAATATTCTTAAAACTCTTTTCTAAAATTTCTCTCTTATCTTCTCCTATGACAACAAAATCTGGAGCAAAGTGGGAGCTGTTAAGCAGCTTGGGAGGTTATTCCTGCACTTATATGTTTAATTTTTGTGTACATTGCAATATTAATTACATAAGCTCAAGTAAACATTTAAAGCCTCATAATCTTAAATATTTAAAGCTTTATAAGTAAAAAATGTATAAAAAATAAAGAACAAACATCCCTAAGCTCACAAGAATGCATGCATACATATGCATTACACATTACCAAACAGCAGGAACTTCTCATGCTTTCTCTTTCTTCATCCTACATCAGCAATAGCATCAAGGTATTTAAGAGTACATAAAAACTAAGATTATACAAGACTAACTTTCCAAAAATGCAACAGATATATTGATTTACCTTAAAAATTTTAGATATGAGGATTGGCATCTTGTTCTCCCTTCCACCTTTAATTGAGATACCAAGGCCATTGTTATCAGACTTGCAGATCTGAACAACTCTTTTCTGACTTGCTATTGGCTCAGGGACTTCACTTGGTCCACTTTCTCCATCAGACCCTTGAAGATTATTGAGGTCATCCAGGTCAGTGAGTGTGACAAACAGATGGTCAGCCTCCAGGGTGAGTCGTGCCTCGTGCCATATACCACCAATCCCCCCAACGAGGACCTCTGTGTTACCCACCTTCTCTCCCATAATTATTTAGACGTCACATCACCTAAAATGAAAATAACATTAAGAATGTAAGCCTAAATATAATTAGATATAGAATATCATTTAAGTTCTAAAATATCAAAATTAAAGATATTGTAAATACAGTAAAGAACATTCTGATGCTCCATAATTAACAATGTATTTTTTATAAATCAGATACATATTGAAGCAGCATACCCATTTTAACTAATACCTGTCTAAACACAAAGGTAACTGCATGCACTGAACTAAAACCATTGAATACAGTATAACTGTAAAACTTTTACTGTTGATCAAAACTGTAATGCGGTCTAGAAAACATATATGCAAGACAAGAACAAGTATTTTTTTAACATACCAGCAATCTCCCACCGAGGCAGGGTGACCCAGAATAGAAGAAACACCTTCACTGTCATTCATTCAATCACCATTTTGCCAGAAGTGTACTGACATCATAGTCAGATAACCTTCAGAACTGCAACATTCGCACCCCTCCTTTATAGTAGAAGCACTGTACTTCCTGACTCCAGAATTCAAGTCCAACTACCCAGTTTTCCTATGAATCTCTTTCATAAATGTTAGCTTGCCGACACTCCCACAGCACATCAAATCATAAAAATCACTTGTCTCCACTCATTCCCATTGAACATGCCCACACAAGTTAGGAAAACTAACTTGTGATCTTATTGCATGATTAAAAGATATCAAGCACACCACAGAGAATACAAGTGTGTGACTTCAAAATTTTAAGTGCATAAATAAGAGCAACAAACTATTATCTGAAAATTAAAACTTCTTTTAAATATATTAAATATAGTGTTCACACTACTGGTGGAAACAATTTGTTTATAGATATTGTATTTCAGTAATTACTTTAATAATTACATTTTGTAAACCTATTAATACATTATTATTAGAATAATGACAGTACTGGAGCTAAAATAAAAAACAATAATTAAAACAAGAAATAACAAGATATAATCAATTACATATTCTGGGAAACAAAAGTGCTCCAAATGTAATAAAATAATAGCTTTGATTTAGGTGTCATATGTGGTTTTCTTATTTATACAAATATAGTAAATAAAATAATTAGAAGTGGGAAGCCTGTGTGTAGAGTTTAGTTCTGTATACTTGTCAACACAAACTGACAAGTATTATTGTACTTGTAATACAGTATTAAGGTTTTAACAGAAAAGCTGTATTATTATTATTACATATAATCAAAGAAAGCGCTAAACCGACAAGGATCATACAGCGCTGCAGGGCAGAAAATAGTGCTGGGGCTATAAACAGCTAGGTGGGGAGGGGATCAGTGGTGAGGGGAGAAAAGGGCTGGAAGGGACACTAAGGGCTGTGTCAAAGTTTGTATAGTAAAGCAGTTGCTGATAAAAAGTAAAAAAATGATTGTAAGTCAAAGGCAGGACCATCTGCAAGAAGGGAAGATGAGGTAAAAGCAGCATTGTTGGAGGCAAATCTTGGGAGCTCGTTGGTAAACCAGGCAATCTACAAGAACCAAAATAGGAACCCAACAAACCTCACAGAGAGGAATATGGTGTCGTTCCATGAGATACCCTTGAGTAGGGTGGGTATGGCCAATGCGGAGATGGGAGAGCACAGTCTCCCAAGTACAGCAATGGTGGTAAGAAGATGGCCACAAACCTAAAAGCGGTTTAACAGAGTGCAATTTGTTATGGTGCATGCCCAACCACTGTTGTTGCCAACGGTCGCTGCACGAAGACGAGCAGAGATGACTGGAAAATAATCTCTGAACGGAATACCTCTATAGGAAACCAGAAGATCATGCACTGTTGACCGTGCAGCAGCATCCGCTTGTTCATTGCCCTGCACATCAACGTGTCCAGGGACCCAACAGAAAACGATGTACAGTGGACCCCTGGTATTCGATGGCATCGGTATTCGATAAATCCAGTATTCGATGCATTTTAACGCAAAAATTTTGCCTCGGTATTCGATTGAAAACCCGGTATTCGATACGATTCGTTCGAGATGTATCCACATGTGGCCTGAACTGCCCTGTGTATGCCAGTGTTTACAAGCCAGCCAGTGTGAGCGCATCTAAGGATACATTCGGTACATTCCATATAATCACTGTTTTTGGTGCTTGTTTCTGCAAAATAAGTCACCATGGGCCCCAAGAAAGCTTCTAGTGCCAACCCTGTGGTAAAAAGGGTGAGAAATTAGTATGGAAATTAAGAAAGATTTTGAAGGGTTTGGGGCTAACCCTGAGAAGCCTATGCCAGTTGTGGAATCCATTGTGCCTACTTCAAAAATTAAGGAAATGTGTGCACAGTGGGTTGAACTGCAAACCTTTATGGATGAAAATCACCCTAACACAGCTATTGCAAGCCGTGCTGGTGACTATTACAATGACAATGTTGTAGCCCATTTTAGACAAATCATAAAGGAACGGGAGGTACAGAGCTCTATGGACAGATTTGTTGTGCTACAGAGGTCCAGTGACTCAGCTGGTCCTAGTGGCATTAAAAGAAGAAGGGAAGTAACCCTGGAAAAGGACTTGCTACCTCAAGTCCTAATGGAAGGGGATTCCCCTTCTAAACACTAACACCATCCACACTCTCCCCTCCTCCCATCCCATCAATCATCACCAGATCTTCAATAAAGGTAAGTGTCATGTAACTGTGCATGTCTTCTTCAGTTTGTGTATATTAAAATTAATATTTCATGTGGTAAAAAAAAAAAATTCATACTTTTGGGTGTCTTGCACGGATAAATTTGATTTCCATTATTTCTTATGGGGAAAATTGATTCGCTTTTCGATATTTTCGGTATTCGATGAGCTCTCAGGAATGGATTAATATCGAATACCGGGGGTCCACTGTATTTGTTTTTGCTAGCCACATGGCGCAACCATAGTTGAATACGAAGGACTAATGGATGAGGGGAATCAAACTGTTTAATGGCTCGTAAAGCACTGAGGGAATCTGAAGTGATCACAAACATTGAAGGAGACATATATGTAATACAGAGACATACGTATATGTAATACAGAGAAGTCAGGGAACACCGCTGTGAACCCAACACCGTCAGAAGATTTAGAACCATCTGTATAAACAGCAACAGCATGAGCATGTGACCGGAAGTGATAAGAACATATGAAAGAAAGAGCACTACAACAGGCCTACTGGCCTATGCGAGGCAGGTCCAATTCTCCCACCGGCTTAAGCCAATGCCTTGACCTAGTGAAGTCAGACACGTCACATTAGGGAGGAGCACGGCATCCGACCTAGTAGCACAAGCTAGTCAGGTCCAACTCACACCCACTCATGTATTTATCTAACCTATTTTTAAAACTGCACAACGTTTTAGCTTCTATGACGGTACTTGGGAGTTTGTTCCACTCATCCACAACTCTATTACCAAACATGTGTTTTCCTATATCCTTCCTGAATCTGAATTTTTCCAATTTAAAGCCATTGCTGCGGGTCCTGGCTATGTTAGATATTTTTAGCACGCTATTTACACACCCTTTATAAATTCCTGTTTTCCATTTATACACCTCAACCATATCCCCCTTAATTCTACGCCTTTCTAGAGAGTGCAGATTCAGGGCCCTCACTCTATCCTTATAGGGAAGATTTCTGATACATGGGATCAACTTAGTCATCCTCCTTTGTATGTTTTCCAGTGCACTTATATCCATTCTGTAATACAGTGACCAAAACTGCGCAGCATAATCTAAATGAGGCCTAACCAAAGATATATAGAGTTAAATGAGGATTTCTATTATTTATACTTCTTGCTATGAAGCCAAGGATTCTGTTAGCTTTATTGCGAACACTAATGCACTGTTTAGTTATGTGTGGCATGGTTATTTTCCTGTCCAACATTTAGAACTTTGCTTCTGTCTATATTAAACTGCATCTGCCACTATTCAAATCATCCTGGAGTGCTCTAATGTTCTCATTAGAATGAACTGGATGGCCTATTTTGGTGTCATCATGAGCTTGTTCTGCATTCTGAACAGTAACTATGTGTGCACCGCTTCAAAAAGCCTGAAAGCATATATTTTGGCCAATGTGTCGTAAAAGAACTTTACCAGTACTATGGTCAAAAAGATAATCAGTTGGAGATGTCGGTTGTAGGGAGAAGAATTTAGTCCACTGCGTACTTGTAAACATGGTGCATAAAGGAAGTGGGTGTTGCATACGTCGTTTTTGGGTAGAATGAACAGACATCGAAGAACCATCATCAGAAAATGGTCTGGAACGTTTAGGCGTAGTACCATGGGTGGCCCGCCCTGAGGTAGGTGTGTGATCCGAAAACTGTCACACTGTATTTGGGGAAGCCGGATGCAATGTTAAAGGCATGCAAGAGGCAGAGGCACTAACAGAAACGGGCAGAGCCCCAGCACCTGGAACAGGTGATGAAGCGTCACCAGCAGAAGGTACAGGGGTATGGGAAAAGTCTAGAGAATGGTCCAATAATGAAGCCGGGTCAGAACAGGATGCGGGAACAGAAAGGGGCCTGGGAGGAGGAGTGTTATCACAGAACAAAGACTCCAGGATAGTGGTGTACTTCTTTCTTATTATTTTAAAGAAAAAAAAAAAAAGAAACAAGGAAAGAAATAAAAAAAGAGGGACAGTGGATGGACAGTCACTAGAAGGCATGAAAGGGTCATAAGTTCCTCCTCTCATCCAAGAGGACCTCAGCCCACAAGCAGTGCAGATGCAGTGTGGAACCCATGCCATACCCTACCTTTCATGCCAGTAAACCAGCACTCCGGGATAGCAACCTCACATCTACCGAGCCATCTCAGCAGACAAAAGAGAGGGGTGCCGGAGACCTGCCACAGAGCATACCTCCTTCAGCTGTCACCTCCCAGAACTGATAGGCAGCCTCTGGAGATACACCCATCATCTGCAGGATACCCAGCCCACTTCTCGGAAATCTGAGAAGGGACCAGGACACTTCCAGACAATCCAGATTCCATGGTGAACTACACCACACCTGAGGAACCTCACTGAGTGGGGTGAACTCCAGCACACTTCCCCCTACCTAGAAACTGTGATGCCAGATGGGGGAAAGGGAGGGTTGGGAGGGGGGGAGGAAGGGGTAAAGGGGGGATGAGGAGGATGGTATAGGGGAGGGAGGACTGGGGGTAATTAGGTTCAGTCTGAGAAAGAAGACCAAAAGGTCCAATTCCTCAGACCAATAGCCTCTTTACCACGACAAGGAGCCCCCCTCTTAAAGGGAAGGAAAGCTGTAAATAATCTGCCGCTGGATGCTCAGTTTATGCACTCAGGTATCTACCAAACATTAGACCACATAATTAACAATATGTACCTGTAAACTGAAACATTTCGTGGATCAGTATGTGATAAAATTAACTGATTTCTTAAATGACCAATGTCAGCAAGTTATCCAGGAGGCAGGTTAGATGACTTGTTAAAATATAATTGTAATAATATTCAACAGCATAATTTAGATTTAGGTTAAGTTGGGCTATGTTAGGTTTGTGTCTGCCAATAATTTTACAAAATCTACAAAAACCCTTGATTTAACAGACTAATAGAGGAGCGGCTGGTCAGTACTGGTGACGGTGGATAGAGACAAGACAGTTTTGCTGTGAATGTAACAATACTGGACTATTCTGTAACCATTAAATCGAGGGTTTACCGTACGGGAGAACGTCTCGCCAGTAAAAAAAATAATGGAGACTTCTGACCAATTGGTGACTTAGACACTGGTAAAATCAGTGGCATTCCCTGGATCACTCTTATTGGGTAGAATTTAAAACAGACTAATATTTTCTGTCTTTAGTGGGATAAGAGGCAGAGAAGAGACCTACCACAGTATGTCAAAACTTTTTCTTGGGGGTTACAGGGGACTTTGCCAAGCAAAAATTTAGGAAGACTAGCTTCAGAAGTTTCTCCACAACAGCCACAAACATACTTTTAATTTTGTATATTAGATACGAATAGCATTAATAACTACACTAATATTTTTAGCAGCAAAGCAAAATAAAAAAAAAAGAGCATTTAGTTCAATATTGCCAGAAATGGATTAGCTTAACTCAAAACACACAGCTGACCACTAATTTATGTAGGATAAAGAGATATTATTACCGTATATAGAGATCATTCCCAAAAATCATAAATAGGCAATAATGCAGCAGATGATAGTAAATTATGTTTAATTACAAGGAACACCTAATTTTCCAGACACCACTCAACCTGCTGACTTCTGAGGATGAAGAAACTTTATTTGGATTAATAACCCAAGTGGATTATCTAATAACCTCTGAGATAACCCAAGAAAGCCAACAGTATAGCTCATTTCCATCAAGATCCTTCGATATTTCCCAGAATGAAACTCACACAACGACTAACTCCTAGGGGTAATAGTGGACGACTGCTACATGGTGTTAAGTTTATTCAGGAACAGGTTATTATTATAATAAAAGGGGAAGTGCTAAACCCATAGGATTATACAGTGCCTGTGGGGGGATGTGGAAGGAATTCAGGCTTAATTCAGGGAACTGGAGCACAGATCCAATTCCCTAGATCAAGAGCCCCCAGAACATCAAAGAACCTTCCTTGAGGGGACTCAGGAACAGATACACATAAATACGGTTACATAAATTATCATACATAGCAGCATATGTGTAGATTACCGAGGATAACCAAAAAGAGTCAGATAAAGTGACTTATTTCCATTGGGGTCCTTGGTGGATTTTAGTCATCAATTATAGTTTGAATTGTAAAATATTAATCTGGTTTTAGAGTTCAGATATTATTTTGAGAAAATAATAAGAAATGTAACCAATGAAACTAACTTAATTAACCTAACTTAACCTTAGTCAGCCATTGGTAGATTTACACAATACTTGGTTGTATACACTGCAAAGTTCCAAAGAATAGTAATTGTAAATGATAACCCTCCATGTCAACTGTTTACTGTTAGGTGAACAGGAAAGCAGGCATCATGACTTTCCACACCCAGGATTGATCCTGGGCCCTTCAGTTGTGAGCTGAATCCCCTCAAAGGAGTTTCCTTGATGCTGGCTGAGGTGCATTTGTTCCAAGGCGTTGGACTTTTCCTCCCCCTATCTTGAGTCGAGACTAAATGCCTCTCATTGCCCAGGTATTCTATGATCCGTATGGGTTTAGCGCTTCCTAGATATGAGGTGTATGTAATAGCAGAACTGTGAAGTACGCAAGTGTCTCACACCATAATGTGAACTCCGCCCCCCAGACACAGGCACCAGTGGGTTGTAGCTAAGCCCTAGCTCCTGGCCCAGCACCCTCGTCACACAGCACACCCACTTCACCTTAAGGGGGACCTAGTTCAGTCTTAAACCTCTACCCACTTCTCCACTCAGCCTACCCTTGGTACCCCCGTGGCCTACCCTCACTCGTGATGTGAGTGCCTAGGCCTACCGTGCCCCTAGGCCTCCACTACACCGTAAATTAGAACAACCTTGAGCACTCACTCGGGGTCTCACTCCTAGCACCACCAATAACAAAGTTGCGTTCAACATGCCACGAATAATTTTTTTTATCGCCACTGTGTGTCATTCATAGTCCTTGATGCCCTAAGATTTTCAATCAATAAATAGTGATATTCGGTCAATTTTGCAAATGTAATTAGCCTGGGATTTAGTATTTTAGGGGAAGATTAACAAGTGGGTGGTTAGTGAAGGTTGGCTCCGCCGAACATCTCCATGTCTGGTTCTCTTGAAATGACTGTGAGGTCTATTAAATGACCGCAAATACTCCGAATAATGGAAAAATCTATAATATTTTAGCCTTAAGAGCATTTAATAAAATTGTTTCGTTGTCTATGGTGATGCATGAGTCGAAATGTGTAAAGTTACATTGATTTGTAAATGTTAAACTAAGTCAGAAAGAAGGGGTTTAGATGCGAGCCCCGGCACTGAGGGGAGGGCGTAAGATTAATCTCTAAGTGTAGAGCTAAACTGATCATTTCCTCTCACTCAAGCACTGTTCATTTATTTCCAGCAGCATCTGATAATTACAACACATCCCTGGAAATCAAATCGACTCCTATGAGTCGCCGTTAAAGCCGAGGGAAGGGCAAGGCAGGATTCGAATGCAGGAGGGCTGGAGGGCTGAATTATTTACGGGAGTGTGGAGTGAGTGGCTCTCCCTCCCTCATTGTTCACTCCTCAGGCAATATCTTACTCTCAGCACATCTCTCCTTTTACATATATTACCAAAAGTTTACCTTCAGTGGCACAGCACAGTTTCAGCCAATCTCTGAAGTCCTTAAATACATCAAAAATATTCTGATATTCGTACTGACTGGTATATATATCTGTATATTTTCTAGGTATATTCACCCCTGCATTTTCTTCACCAGGAAGGAACTTAAGCACTGGCATTTTTCCTGGTATATGACAGCAGTCGTAAAGTGCCTTGAGCTTTATTCCGCGATATTTCAAGTCAAGACACCTTTAAATTGTTAGTCGGTGGGAGAGAATTTTTTCCACGTTTTTATTATTGTGTCTTATTTTAAGCTTTTGTTTTTACAGCGATAGAGAGGCAGGGCTAAGTTAAACAAGGGGAAATATACACAATAACAGCTGCTACACTATACATAGAGGATCACGTTAGCAGGTCGAAGTGACATATAACCCCGTATAACACGTCTTATTTTGATGTAAAAACAAAATTTCCATAACACAGTATTGCAATCTCTCACCATAAATCTACGAGCACAGATGAGTAGATCAAATAATGCTTCCTGATGCACTGAACATAAATAATGCTGTCAAAAGTACCATTGACAAGACAATGTAATTCACACATCGTTCTACCTTACATCACAACAATGTACACAAACCAATATATTCACCATTTTTAAGGAGAAACAGTAGAGCAAGTTTTAGTCAAGAAAGCGAATTTCTTGTCTGTTAGAGAGAGAGTAAACTAGTGTTTCCTCGCGAGTGAGTGCTTGACGAGAGTGCCAGCGCCAGAGTGCCTTCTACACCCGCGCCCACCTTCCATCCTTAAAACATTCAATATATATGCTCACTGTAGTCGCCGCCTCCGCACTGCATGGAATAGCAAAACATTTTGGCTTTCACTTCTCATCTCAGCGACAATGCGAAGCTATGAAATGATTGCAAAAGCACTTTGCAAATTGATTAGTTGTCCCCAGAGTACCTTGGTGACGGGGTGTATGGGAAGTCTAGGAACAGGAGGAGCTGGTGTTATATTTATCAGTGTGGTGAGGCGCTCACGAGGGCTACCTCCACTTCACTATAGCAGCACCTACAGTTGCACCACCTCTACTACAGAAGGTCTGAGTACAGAACCTCCACCTCAAGTATGGGAGGACCTGGAGTTGCGCCTTTTCCTCCGCTGCAAGAAGGGCCGAGAGCTAAATCTCCCTCTTCCTCCTCCATTAGAGCAAGACCTGAAGTTGCACCTCCTCCAGTGGAGGAGGGTCCAAAGTTGAACCTCATCCACTACAGTAGGATCTGGATTTGTAACCCTTCCTCCCCCTCCTCCACTACGAGAGGACCTGCAGTTGCATTTCGTCCTTCACTACGGAAGGACCAAGAGTTCCATCTCCTCCTCTACCACGGGAGAAAGTGAAATTACATCTCCTTCGCTACAGGAGAAAGTGGAGTTACACCTTTTCTTGGGAAGGAGTGAACTTTCTCTTATGTTACATAAGGAAAGTAAATGCTAGATAATTAGTGGAACCTCCATTGCTATGAAGGGACCTAATCTGCCAGGGAAGCAGAGGATCTCGTCTAAGAGCAAATGAGTAGACTTCTTTCCCTTACTTCTCCTCGTCATCCAAGGCGAGATTAAAGGAGCACCTTGTTGACTTCCACTCAGGTCAAAGGTGACACCAGACAATGTCACGCTTTCCATTGTTTCAGTTCACTCATTGTGTTCATGAAACTGTTCGTTGTAGTGCTCTGAGTGTTCTCAACACATGTGGTGCTCTGACTATTATTCTCAATACGTGTAATGTTCTTATTTCTGGTTACCATAATTTTTACGGGAGTGGACCGGAAAGCCAGAGGAAGGCCTCGGTCAGATGACCAAAAGCTCTAATGGCGGGGCATCATCTGACTACGACCCGCGTCAGGAAACACTTGTCCTGTTTCATGACGAACCTTACCTAACCTAACCTGGTTTCTGAATAATTTAGTACTGTTAGCTTGACTTTTCAGTATATTACTGTAGACGTCTACTGACAACTATTTTGGTTATAATTATAACCATGATTTTAAAGAATTGGACTGGTAAGCCAGCGGAAGTCCTCGGTCAGATGACCAAAAGCCCCAGCTGTGGGTCATCATATGACATAGACCCGCGTCAGGAAACAAGTGTCCTGTTTCCTGACAAATCTTAACCTAACCTAAAACCTCTTGTTCTTACTGTTGTTTGTACTTAAATATTTTTCAAGTATTTTTCTGACATCTCTATGGCCCATTTCATTGAGCATTCAACTTCCATCTATTTCCCCTTGTCCCGAGGTCTCCTCTCAGCTCGTCTATATCTCCCTTACTGAGCTCTCCCAGTATCTTGTACATCGTTATCATGTCTCCCTTGTTAAGATATGATAAGATTTTCTTCGGATTTTTAACCCTGGAGGGTTAGCCATCCAGGATAACTCAAGAAAGTCAGTGCGTCATCGAGGACTTACCTGGAGTTTACCTGGAGAGAGTTCCGGGGGTCAACGCCCCCGCGGCCCGGTCTGTGACCAGGCCTCCTGGTGGATCAGAGCCTGATCAACCAGGCTGTTGCTGCTGGCTGCACGCAAACCAACGTACGAGCCACAGCCCGGCTGATCAGGAACTGACTTTAGGTGCTTGTCCAGTGCCAGCTTGAAGACTGCCAGGGGTCTGTTGGTAATCCCCCTTATGTGTGCTGGGAGGCAGTTGAACAGTCTCGGGCCCCTGACACTTATTGTATGGTCTCTTAACGTGCTAGTGACACCCCTGCTTTTCATTGGGGGGATGGTGCATCGTCTGCCAAGTCTTTTGCTTTCGTAGTGAGTGATTTTCGTGTGCAAGTTCGGTACTAGTCCCTCTAGGATTTTCCAGGTGTATATAATCATGTATCTCTCCCTCCTGCGTTCCAGGGAATACAGGTTTAGGAACCTCAAGCGCTCCCAGTAATTGAGGTGTTTTATCTTCGTTATGCGTGCCGTGAAAGTTCTCTGTACATTTTCGAGGTCGCCAATTTCACCTGCCTTGAAAGGTGTTGTTAGTGTGCAGCAATATTCCAGCCTAGATAGAACAAGTGACCTGAAGAGTGTCATCATGGGCTTGGCCTCCCTAGTTTTGAAGGTTCTCATTATCCATCCTGTCATTTTTCTAGCAGATGCGATTGATACAATGTTATGGTCCTTGAAGGTGAGATCCTCCGACATAATCACTCCCAGGTCTTTGACGTTGGTGTTTCGCTCTATTTTGTGGCCAGAATTCGTTTTGTACTCTGATGAAGATTTAATTTCCTCATGTTTACCATATCTGAGTAATTGAAATTTCTCATCGTTGAACTTCATATTGTTTTCTGCAGCCCACTGAAAGATTTGGTTGATGTCCGCCTGGAGCCTTGCAGTGTCTGCAATGGAAGACACTGTCATGCAGATTCGGGTGTCATCTGCAAAGGAAGACACGGTGCTGTGGCTGACATCCTTGTCTATGTCGGATATGAGGATGAGGAACAAGATGGGAGCGAGTACTGTGCCTTGTGGAACAGAGCTTTTCACCGTAGCTGCCTCGGACTTTACTCTGTTGACGACTACTCTCTGTGTTCTGTTAGTGAGGAAATTATAGATCCATCGACCGACTTTTCCTGTTATTCCTTTAGCACGCATTTTGTGCGCTATTACGCCATGGTCACACTTGTCGAAGGCTTTTGCAAAGTCTGTATATATTACATCTGCATTCTTTTTGTCTTCTAGTGCATTTAGGACCTTGTCGTAGTGATCCAATAGTTGAGACAGACAGGAGCGACCTGTTCTAAACCCAAGTTGCCCTGCGTTGTGTAACTGATGGGTTTCTAGATGGGTGGTGATCTTGCTTCTTAGGACCCTTTCAAAGATTTTTATGATATGGGATGTTAGTGCTATCGGTCTGTAGTTATTTGCTGTTGCTTTACTGCCCCCTTTGTGGAGTGGGGCTATGTCTGTTGTTTTTAGTAACTGTGGGACGACCCCCGTGTCCATGCTCCCTCTCCATAGGATGGAAAAGGCTCGTGATAGGGGCTTCTTGCAGTTCTTGATGAACACAGAGTTCCATGAGTCTGGCCCTGGGGAAGAGTGCATGGGCATGTCATTTATCGCCTGTTCGAAGTCATTTGGCGTAAGGATAACATCGGATAGGCTTGTGTTAATCAAATTTTGTGGCTCTCTCATAAAAAATTCATTTTGATCTTCGACTCTCAGTCTGGTTAGCGGCTTGCTAAAAACTGAGTCATATTGGGACTTGAGTAGCTCACTCATTTCCTTGCTGTCATCTGTGTAGGACCCATCTTGTTTAAGTAGGGGCCCAATACTGGACGTTGTTCTCGATTTTGATTTGGCATAGGAGAAGAAATACTTTGGGTTTCTTTCGATTTCATTTATGGCTTTTAGTTCTTCCCTCGATTCCTGACTCCTAAAGGATTCTTTTAGCTTAAGTTCGATGCTTGCTATTTCTCTGACCAGTGTCTCCCTACGCATTTCAGATATATTGACCTCTTTTAGCCGCTCTGTTATTCTTTTCCGTCGCCTGTAAAGGGAGCGCCTGTCTCTTTCTATTTTACATCTACTCCTCCTTTTTCTTAGAGGAATAAGCCTTGTGCATACATCGAGTGCCACCGAGTTAATCTGTTCTAGGCATACGTTGGGGTCTGTGTTGCTTAGTATATCTTCCCAGCTTATATCGGTTAGGACTTGGTTTACTTGGTCCCACTTTATGTTTTTGCTATTGAAGTTGAATTTGGTGAATGCTCCCTCGTGACTAGTCTCATTATGTCGGTCTGGGGCTCCACGCATACATGTCTGAACCTCAATTATGTTGTGATCTGAGTATATTGTTTTTGATATGGTGACATTTCTTATCAGATCATCATTGTTAGTGAAGATGAGGTCTAGTGTATTCTCCAGTCTAGTAGGCTCTATTATTTGCTGGTTTAAATTGAATTTTGTGCAGAGATTTAAAAGCTCGTGTGAGTGTGAGTTTTCATCAGAGCTGCCTCCTGGTGTTATTACTGCAACAATATTATTTGCTATATTCCTCCATTTTAGGTGCCTTAAGTTGAAATCCCCCAGGAGCAAGATGTTGGGTGCAGGAGCTGGAAGATTTTCCAGACAGTGGTCAATTTTTAACAGCTGTTCCTGGAATTGCTGGGATGTTGCATCCGGAGGCTTGTAGACTACCACAGTTACTAGGTTTTGGTTCTCGACCTTTACTGCTAAAACTTCCACTACATCATTTGAGGCATTAAGCAGTTCTGTGCAAACAAGTGACTCTGCAAAGTACAGGCCAAACCCCCCCCCCCTTTTGCCTGTCTAATTTATTTCCATTGTGGTCCTCAGTCTTGTCCCTCAGGATGCGACCCACACCAGTCGACTAACACCCAAGTACCTATTTGCTGCTAGGTGAGCAGGACAACATGTGTAAGGAAACGCGTCGAAATATTCCCACCCGCCGGGAATTGAACCCGGGCCCTCCGTGTGTGAAGCTAGAGCTTTAGCTACCAGGCCACCGGGGCACCACTTCACTGTTGGAATGTTTAGTTCTTTAAGTCTGTCTTCGAGAGTCAGTCTTCTTAAAGAACAAAAATGGCACAATACTGTGACTGGAACAATACACAAATAACCCGCACATAGTTAATGTTCCAAGTCTGACAAAAACATTGTCGCAAGTTTCACTCTCCTATGTGTGGGTTATTTGTGTAGTGTCAGTTCTGTTGTGGGTCGACTGTTGTGACCCACAACAGTAGACATACTTCTAGGCACCTATTTACTGCTAGGTGACAGGTCCATTAGGTTGTGAGCCGATCGTTCTATCACTGAGCTAAGGCAACCCCTCTGCTGTTATTTTAGCTGTCCAGACAGGTTCAGCAGTGTTACAAGAAGCATTAGCTTAACTATCAGATAACACATATATTCCGATCTATTCTCCATTTCTCTCTGTATAGAGTGTAACAGATTGAAAGAAGGGAGGATAATGAAAAACAGAAGATAAGTAGCGATGACGCAGGGACTTGATAACCGGACTACGTTATCGAAGATACTGGGTAAAATCACCTGCTCTGTTATCTTACATCTGGCTATCTTATCAGCACATTCTTGCAGTGAGTCGCATAGGTCTCAGTGTTGTTGTAAAACTACGTGTTGTTGCACTCTATAGAGGGACAGACGAAGAAAGAGTGTGTGGAAATAGCTGACCCGAAGTGCTGTCCATAAATAAGTGTTTCTGAGACCCATGACACCAAGAGAGCTACTGGAACAAGATTAAAGAAAGAGAGGTCGAGGAACAGGGTAGAAGAGCGAGAGAAAGAAAAAGAGAACCATCGAGACGTCAAAGAGGAGTTCGAGGAGCGAGGAAGAGCGAGATCGAAGGACCAGATCTAGGGCGCGTCCGAAGACGAGGAAGAGGACTTTGAGTAGCAGGTGTAGAGGACGGCGGTGTTGGTGATGGATCTGAGGTGGCCAGGTGGCGCCATCTTCATTGTTGGGACACTTTACCTGATTCTCGGGGCTTGTCCAGTGGCCACAGGTGTGTTTTGATGGACCATTGTGTATCCGCTGTAGTCTGAGTGCAGACACATTTGTCTGTTCTTGTGTCTGTGATGATCTGAGCATGGCCGTGATTATTTGGGTGTGGCCACGATGATCTGGGAGTGGCCACGATGAGCTGGGTGTGGCAGCTAGGAACTGGGTGTGGCAACGATGATCTTGGTGTAGCCATGATGATCTGGGTGTGACCACTATGATGTGGGTGTGGCCTCAATGGTCTGGGCATGGACACAATAATCTAGGTGTGGTCACGAAGATTTTAGTGCTTGACGGTATGGTATTACAAAAGTGGTGTTGGTATAATAACAATAATCATCTGTTATTCTGACATAATGGCATCTCAGAGTCCACTCAGTGTGTGTGTGTGTGTGTGTGTGTACTCACCAAATTGTGGTTGCAGGGGTCGAGATTCAGCTCCTGGCCTGGTGTGTGTGTATGTGTGTGTGTGTATGTGTGTGTGTGTGTGTGTGTGTGTATTCACCTAATTGTGCTCACCTAATTGTGGTTTCAGGGGTCGAGACTCAGCTCCTGGCCCCACCCCTTCACTGATTGCTACTAGGTCCTCTCTGCTCTGTGTGTGTGTGTGTGTGTGTGTGTATTCACCGAGTTGTGGTTGCAGGGGTCGATTCATAGTTCCTGGCCCCACCTCTTCACTGGTCGCTACTTGGTCACTCTTCCTGCTCCATGTGCTTTATCATACCTCTTCTTAAAGCTATGTATGGATCCTGCCTCCACTACATCACTTCCCAGACTATTCCACTTCCTGACAACTCTGTGACTGTGTATGTACTCACCTAGTACTCACCTAGTGTGTGTGTGTGTGTGTGTGTGTGCGCGCGCGCGTGTGTGTGTGTGTGTGTACTCACCTAATTGTGGTTGCAGGGGTCGAGACTTAGCTCCTGGCCCCCGCCTCTTCACTGACCACTACTGGGTCCTCCCTCTCCCAGCTCCATGAGCTTTATCATACCTCGTCTTAAAACTATGTATGGTTCCTGCCTCCACTACATCGCTTGCCAGACTATTCCACTTCCTAACAACTCTGTGGCTGAAGAAATACTTCCTAACATCCCTTTGACTCATTTGAGCCTTCAGCTTCCAATTGTGACTCCTTGTTTCTGTGTCCCATCTCTGTAACATCCTGTCTCTGTCCACCCTGTCTATTCCACGCAGTATTTTGTATGTCGTTATCATGTCTCTCCTGACCCTCCTGTCCTCCAGTGTCGTCAGATCGATTTCCCTTAACCTTTCTTCATGGGACATTCCCCGTAGCTGTGTGTGTGTGTGTACTCACCTACTTGTGCTTGCAGGGGTCTATTCACAGCTCCTGGCCTCACCTCTTTAACTTGTCGCTTGCCATATTCACTCCCTCCTAGCCTCATAGACTCTACTCGTACCTGTTCTTAAAGCTATGCATGGAGTCTGCCTTCATTACTTCTTCGTCTAGGTCATTCTATTTTTTCCTGACCATCCTGAAACTAAAGAAATACTTCCTGACAGTCTTGTGACTCATCAGTGCCTTGAACTTCTACCCGTGAATATGTGTGTAGTCACGTACAGTGTGTGTCACAACCCAGATGATGTGTCCTAACTAGCTAGTTTGAACAGAACTATTAGACTAACCACCAAAAGTTTCGTTACACCATCTAGGAACCATCTCAGGCCAATCTTTTCACCCACCCTCCTTCTCCATAAGTGCCAGCAAAGTGCCAGGCTGCTGCTCTCATCTCAGACGTGAATCACCAGGCCCGTAGCTGGGTGGTAGAACATTCAACCCGCAAATTGAGGTCCGTGGTTCGATTCCCTTGAGACACCTGCTCCCATGCTCACCTAGCAGTAAAATAGGTACCTGGATGTTAGTGGACTGACGTGGGTCGCATCCTGGGACAAAATTGACCTAATTTACGGGAAATGATCTGCATATTAAGCGGCTTTCTATATAGTAATATGTCATTAATGTCAGCTATGGTCTGTATACCTTATCTACTTGGAGGTCATTCAGGGGAACAACGCCCCCCGGCCCGGTCCACGACCAGGCCTCCTGGTGGATCAGGGCCTGATCAACCAGGCTGTTACTGTATTTATAGAAAAAAACTATTATTATTCTTTTTCCACAAGTCAGTAGCAACTGTGCCCTCTGATGGTTAGTTAATTTTAAAGGCTATATACCAGACGAGTGTCATTAAGGCTGCAGTTAGCCTGTCAAGCATGATTTACTCATAATAATAATAATAAATAATAATAATAATAATAATAATAATAATAATAATAATAATATCTTTATTTCTACAAGTACATGTACAAGGTATACAGACCATAGCTGACATCACTGACATACTACTATATAGAAAGCCGCTTGTTATGCAGAGCATTGCCAGCAAATTAGGTCAGTAATGTCCCAGGATGCGACCCACACCAGTCCACTAACACCCAGGTACCCATTTTACTGATGGGTGAACGTAGACAACAGGTGTAAAGAAACACTCCCAATGCTTTTACCCTGGCTGGGAATCGAACCCAGACCCTCGCCGTGTGAAGCGAAAGCTTTAGCCACCAGGCCAGGGGTTAAACTTTGCCCTTAATCAAAGCATCCCAATTGAAATATGTCACTTTGACTTTTGTGTGAGTTATTCTAGGCAATTTATATATATGTTAATTGTGTTTATGCATACCTGTACCTAAATATACTTGAGAGAGAGAGAGAGAGAGAGAGAGAGAGAGAGAGAGGAGAGAGAGAGAGAGAGAGAGAGAGTTCAGAAGAGGGACAACTAATCCATCCATTTTCTCTTTTCTTTAACGAGTCTTGGTGGAACAGACAAAAGTAAACCTCAATAGGTATCAGAGCAATGGATGACTAAGACGTATTACCCTTATGTATAAGGTCCATATTGAAGAATATTATCAACCTGAGCCTTACGTCTATTGTCATATTTTCCCGTTTTTTCTTTTTATTCTCAGGGGTAACTGAAGCGTCCAGGAAAAACACGACGTCAGTAGGTTGTAAATTACATCGTAACTGCGCGATTTTGGCGCGTATTGTACCTGTTTATGAAGTGTATATTGCAGTATACCACCATGTTGCATCATATTCATTTGTAACAACATGCAGGCAGTATGCAATATGTAGCCTACATGCATATATCACCATATATAATATATACGTTGACCAAACTGCAACAACATCCCAACAGAGGATGTATAAAGCGTGTTGTGTATTATTCAAAGTATATACACTGAAATATAGGACTTTAAATCCAAATTTTATAGCTCACATATTACTTTGATTCCAGAATCGCGAACAAGCGATGCAAAACAATTACAGGGGAGTTGAATAATAGCTCAAGGTCTTTCATATTGCAATCATTACATAACCAGGACGCAAGAAGCGTCCATCTTCTGCAACATTTCAAGCCCTGATGTGTTGATTGCAACACAAAAGGCCTAGAGATATTATTAACTCGCCCTTGGGTTTAAACCCTTTAATTACCTTGTTACAAAACCCTTTAAATTACCTGGTAAGTCAACAAATATTTAAAACCCAAAATACATGGTAATTTTAACCTTTATCTACCCTCTAATATACACTGGTAAGTCTTAACTAATATCTACCCTCTAATATACACTGGTAAGTCTTAACTAATATTTACCCTCTAATACACTGGTAAGTCTTAACTAGTATCTACCCTCTAATATACACTGGTAAGTCTTAACTAATATCTACCCTCTAATATACACTGGTAAGTCTTAACTAATATCTACCCTCTGATATACACTGGTAAGTCTTAACTAGTATCTACCCTCTAATATACACTGGTAAGTCTTAACTAATATCTACCCTCTGATATACACTGGTAAGTCTTTAATAGTTCTACCTCTAATATACACTGGTAAGTCTTAACTAGTATCTACCCTCTAATATACACTGGTAAGTCTTAACTAGTATCTACCCTCTAATATACACTGGAGTTTACCTGGAGAGAGTTCCGGGGGTCAACGCCCCCGCGGCCCGGTCTGTGACCAGGCCTCCTGGTGAATCAGAGCCTGATCAACCAGGCTGTTACTGCTGGCTGCACGCAAACCAACGTACGAGCCACAGCCCGGCTGATCAGGAACCGACTTTAGGTGCTTGTCCAGTGCCAGCTTGAAGACTGCCAGGGGTCTGTTGGTAATCCCCCTTATGTATGCTGGGAGGCAGTTGAACAGTCTCGGGCCCCTGACACTTATTGTATGGTCTCTCAACGTGCTAGTGACACCCCTGCTTTTCATTGGGGGGATGTTGCATCGTCTGCCAAGTCTTCTGCTTTCGTAGTGAGTGATTTTCGTGTGCAAGTTCGGTACTAGTCCCTCTAGGATTTTCCAGGTGTATATAATCATGTATCTCTCCCGCCTGCGTTCCAGGGAATACAGGTTCAGGAACCTCAAGCGCTCCCAGTAATTGAAGTGTTTTATCTCACTGGTAAGTCTTAACTAGTATCTACCCTCTAGTATACACTGGTAAGTCTTAACTAGTATCTACCCTCTAATATACACTGGTAAGTCTTAACTAGTATCTACCCTCTAATATACACTGGCAAGCCTTAACTAGTATCTACCCTCTAATATACACTGGTAAGTCTTAACTAGTATCTACCCTCTAATATACACTGGTAAGTCTTAACTAGTATCTATCCTCTAATATACACTGGTAAGTCTTAACTAGTATCTACCCTCTAATATACACTGGTAAGTCTTAACTGGTATCTACCCTCTAATATACACTGGTAAGTCTTAACTAGTATCTACCCTCTAATATACACTGGTAAGTCTTAACTAGTATCTACCCTCTAATATACACTGGTAAGTCTTAACTAGTATCTACCCTCTAATATACACTGGTAAGTCTTAACTAGTATCGATCCTCTAATATACACTGGTAAGTCTTAACTAGTATCTACCCTCTAATATACACTGGTAAGTCTTAACTAGTATCTATCCTCTAATATACACTGGTAAGTCTTAACTAGTATCTACCCTCTAATATACACTGGTAAGTCTTAACTAGTATTACCCCCTAATATACACTGGTAAGTCTTAATAGTATCTAACCCTCTAATATACAATGGTAAGTCTTAACTAGTAAACTACCCCCTAATATACACTGGTAAATCTTAACTAGTATCTACCCTCTAATATACCTGGTAAGTCTTAAATAGTATCTACCCCCTAATATACACTGGTAAGTCTTAATTTGTATCTACCCCTAATATACCTGGTAAGTCTTTAAATAGTATCTACCCTCTAATATACACTGGTAAGTCTTAACTAGTATCTACCCTCTAATATACACTGGTAAGTCTTAACTAGTATCTACCCTCTAATATACACTGGTAAGTCTTAACCCGTATTACCCTCTAATATACACTGGTAAGTCTTAACTAAAATCTACCCTCTAATATACACTGGTAAGCTTAACTAGTATCTACCTCTAATATACACTGGAAGTCTTAACCTGTATCTACCCCCTAAAATACACTGGTAAGTCTTAACTGTATCTACCTCTAATATACACTGGTAAGTCTTAACTAGTATCTACCCCAATATACACTGGTAAGTCTTAACCCGGGATCTATCCTTAATATACACTGGGAAGTCTTAACCTGATCTACCCTCTAATTATAAACTGGTAAGTCTTAACTAGTATCTACCCCTAATATTTCACTGGTAAGTCTTAACTGGTTCTATCCTCAAATATACACTGGAAGTCTTAAGGATTAATTTTTACCAATGGTAAATTTAATTGTTCACCCCATATATCCTTGGTAATTTAAAGTATTACCCCTAAATACAAAGGTTTAATCTTAATGGATTAATTCTTTCCCTTTTAATTACACTGGGTTAAAGCAAATTAGGATTTGCAGAATGGTAGTTTATTGTTCAATAATATCCTTTTGACTAGGGAGAATATTTTTTTGGATTCCCAAAAGGGCCAATTAGCCCAAGGGTTCAAGAATACCCTATGGATTATATCTACATTCATAGTTCACTTATCTGTTACAAGCAAATTTGGAAAAATTTGTTAGTTATTTTGGTATCTTATTTTCATTAATAGTATCTTGACATGTACTGGGTTTTATTATATGTCTTTTCTGTTTCTAAATAGTGGAAAATTTAAGACTAGTGTTCAAGAGAGTGACCATATCCCTGTCAAATTTACTTTTTGTTTGATCATATCGGGTTGTCTCCCAAACTGCCAAAAAATTACTTGTAACCAACCCTAACCCGGCCACTAAAACATCAGCGTTGTTCACTTGCAAGTTGCTCCATAAAATATTTATCTAGTTCTGTTTTCTAGTGGGTTATAGATCTATCAGGCTTCAAACTGATTCCTAAACAATCACTTCATTATTTACTTCTCTCCTAATATTATTCCTAATGTAGACACATTATACCAAATTTTTAATTTACATTCCCCTTCTCGATACTCTTTTTGGTAACATATCAACTTTTCATGAAGGAGTAACCCAATGGGTTGGGATCCATGCAATTGTACTTTAAATTTCCCTTTTGTCCCAAATTTTTTTAGTATTATACTGGCTTCCCAATGGCATGTTTTTTGGGTCATTATTCAAATTCAAAATTCAAAGTTTATTCTCTTTTAGGATTACAATGTGGTTTAAGAATTTTTGGTTATTGTGTGGTTTACATGTTGTTAAAATGTGATTACAGGTGTACCCCTAGAAGTTAGCATGGTAGGCATTTCGGGAGATTAGTTTTATTCTTAAATTTTAAAAAAATTACAAATATGAGGTAATTGGTTTTTTGGTAGTGACAAATACTAGTTTTTGGGGTTTGCAATTGATGCTTTTTTTTTTGGCACAGTACATGTTTCAGTATTGGGGGATCAAGGATTATATTTTGAGATTGGATTAAAATTTTGTTATGGTCAAATGGGGGGGTGGGGTAAATGGGTCATCGGTGGTATTGTTGTTTGTTTGATGGGGGGTATAGGGAGATAAGATGTTTTCTTGGGAGTTTTTAAGGTGTGAATGTGGGTTGCAGTTTAGAGTTCTCAGTAGGGTTTCCAGATTTTAGGGCCTTTGAATACATTGAATTTTGTTTTAAAGGTTTGTGGACAGGGGGGAATGTGTAGAGATGTTTGTGCTGGGTTATGCCTGTGGGTTCTGTCACAATATCGAATGCGTTTTAGGAAGGATTTTTAGATTTTTAGGGCCGTGTGAAGCCGTGTAAAGTTGGTGTCTGAAAAAAGGGAGTAAGTTTAGGTCTATGGAGTGGGGGTGGTGTTGCCGGAGGGATTTAGTGTTATTCACTTTCAGCTTTTTGTTGGGTTATTATTGGCTTTAGGTGTGTTGCTGCAGTTGATCCCCAAGCACAAATAGCATAGGTGAGGTATGGATAAATAAGTGAGTGGTATAGTGTGAGAAGGGCATTTTGCGGCACGTAGTATTGTATCTTGGAGAAGATCCCAACCGTTTTGGATACTTTTTTGGTTATGTGCTGGATATGGGTGCTGAAATTCAGGTTGTTGTCAAGGTATAAGCCTAGGAATTTGCCCCCATTATTCTGGTAATTAGCGTGTTGTCAATCTTAATGTTAATTTGTGCATCTCCTGCTCTGCTACCAAACATAATATAGTAGGTTTTGTCAGTGTTAAGCGTAAGTTTATTGGCTGTCATCCAAGTCGATATTTTGATCAGCTCCTCATTCACAATGGTGTTGAGGGTGGCAAGAATTAGGGTGAGAGATGACATAAGTCGTGTCGTCAGCAAAGAGAATGGGTTTCAGGTGTTGGGATACGTTTGGAAGGTCATTGATGTATATGAGGAAGAGCAGGGGACCAAGGACACTTCCCTGCGGAACTCCAGTATCAATTGGCCGTGTTGCTGATGCTGTGTCTTTAATGGTGACATACTGATACCTATTAGTAATGTAAGATTTGAAATAAAGCAAGCGCATGGCCTCTTATACCGTAATGATCAAGTTTGTGGAGTAGGATGTCGTGGTCTACTGTGTCAAAAGCTTTTCTTAGGTCAATAAAAATTCCTAGTGGATATTCCTTATTTTCCAATGCTGTGTACAGCAGATCTAGCATTTTTATGATTGCATCATTAGTGCTTTTATTTTTCCTGAATCCAAATTGGCAGGGGTTGAGTATGTTTTGAGCCGTTATAAATGAATACAGTCTCCTGTGCACGAGTTTCTCAAAGATTTTGGATAGCAATGGTAAGTTAGATATTGGCCTATAGTTGTTTAAGTCTGTAGGGTCACCATCTTTATGTATTGGTGTAACCCTTGCCATCTTGAGCAGTTTCGGGAAGGTGCTAGTCTCTATTGACTTGTTAAAAAGTAATGAAATAGCATGCGAAAGGACATGGGCCGCTCGCTTGTACAGTAATGGTGGGACATGAGACAGATTCCCCGATTTATTTTTAAGTGACTTTATGATCTCAATGACTTCCGTGGGCTCAGTTGGTGCAAGATAGAAGGAATTAGGGAAATTTCCATCTAGGTAGTCCCCGGCATGGGCATTGGTATGTGGGATTTTACTGGCGAGATTAGATCCTATGTTTGAGAAGAAGTCGTTTATCTTGTTAGCTGTGTCAGTGGGATGTAGTGGTGTTTCATTAGGTTTAGTTAGGACAATATTCTTGGTTTTTCTCAGTTTGTGGGTCCCTAGAATCTGAGAGAGTGTTTTTCCAGGTCTTTTTTATATCTCCTCTAGTGTCTGTGAATCTACTGGAGTAGTATAGTTGTTTGGCTTTTTTTATTACTTTGGTGAGAGCTGATGAATAGTGTTTAAGAGTATCTTTGTGTATTAAGCCCTGTCTATATTGCTTTTCATATTGGTGTTTCTTGTCAATGGATTTCAGAATGGTGCTGGTTAGCCATGGGCAACCAAGCCGTTTGTTTGTGATCTGTTTTGTTTTTTATAGGACAATGTTTGTTGTATAGTCTAAGTAATTTGTTAAGAAAGATGTCTGTCCAGTCATCAATACCATTGGCCTTGGAGAATTCTGTAGGCCAATCAACAGTCTCTAGGTCAGCTGTGAACTTCCTTACTGAGGCCTCGTCATGGAGTCTAAATGAGACTTTGTTGTATTCAAGTGGTGGTTTACTAATGTTTGTCAGGAGGAAGGTAGGGTAGTGGTCTGTAGTGCTATCTGTGATTATCCCTGATTTAAGGGGGGCTAGTATATTGGTCCATATGTGGTCTATTATGGTTGCACTTGTCTCAGTGAGCCTGGTTGGTTTAGTTATTGTTGGTATGAGAAGTGTGTTGTTCATATTGTTGATGAAGTCAGTTACAGGCTGATCATCTAGTAAGCCAAGGTTGATGTTGAAGTCTCCAGCTAAGAGAAGGTGGTGCTTATTCATTTGTCTGTTTGTTATTAGTGACTTTAATTTCTCACTGAAATTTGGGATGTTTGTGTGAGGTATCCGGTAAATGGCACCAATTGTTATAGGCGTCTTAAGGTTTTTTACAGTAAAATTAGCAAAAATGTATTCCCCGTATTCATCACTAAAGCAAAGTGGTGCTAAGACAAGATAATTGGTTAGAGTAATAGATTGCAATACCACCCCCAACTTGGTTTGTTCTGCAGTTGTGAATTGCTGTGTATCCTGGTAGAGGGTAGATATCTATTGTGTCCTGCTTAAGCCAGGTCTCAGTAAGAATAATGCAGGAGAAGGGTGTCTTTAGTGATTCAAGGAGTGCTAAGAGGTCATCATAGTGTTTGCTTAAGGACCTGATGTTGTAGTTAAGTACTGATAGACTTTTAGCATTGTTTAGGATAGTGCTGGCTTGTGATGCTGTGTAATAAAGGCAGTTACTTTCCAATAGGTTTTGATTGGGTGTCAGATTATGGAGGTTTAGATCAGGGTCAACGTGATCAATCATCTTCTAGGTTTAAATTATGGTTATTTATATCTTCAGTTGTGTGTTGAGTTCTAGTACTGATATCTGTAGTGGTAGGAAGTTTGGACAAGTATATAGCTAGAGTATTTTGGTCATGTAGAGTATAGTCACTACTACACATAATGAAGTTGATGTTGTCTATGTGTTGTGCTGGAATGAACTAAAGTACAACTAGGTATAAACTAGTAATATAAAAATACAAATTAAAAATAGAACAAGACTCTCACTTGTAATTGCACTAAGGTCTAATACTGACTTTTGTGGAGTCTATGTTTTGAGCTAGAGTGAGCTAAAGTACAATAGGTTTAATCTAATAATATAAAAGTACAAATTAAAAATAGCACTAGTCTCTCACTAGTAATTGCACTATGGTCTAATATAGTGAATTTGGTATTGACTATGTCTTGAGGTAGAATGAGCTATGGTACAACTGAATTTAATCTAATAATATAAAAATACAAATTAAAAGTAGCACCAGTCTCTCACTAGTAATTGCACTATGGTCTAATATAGTGAATTTGGTATTGACTATGTATTGAGCTAGAAAGAGCTATAGTACAACAACTTTAGTCTAATATAAAAATACAAATTACAAATAGCACCAGTCTCTCACTAGTAATTGCACTATGGTCTAGTATAGTGAATTTGGTATTGACTATGTATTGAGATAGAATGAGCTAGAGTAAAACTGTGATTAATCTAATAATATAATAAAGGAACAAGACTCTCAATTGTAATTGCACTAAGGTCTTATATAAGTTGTTTACAAGAATTAGAGTATAATTAGATTTAAATTGACAGGATAAAATACACAAATTAAGATAGCAAAAAATAATAAAAAAAAAAAGAATTGATAAAAAAAAAAAAATGGCAATGACTTGGTTATAATATGCTAGTAAGATGGTAGACAGGATGATATAAAAGTTGTAGTTGAAAATACTAGGTTAAAAAAGTATGGAATAAAAATGGTCAATAAAAGAAGTTTACAATAAGTTTGATCAATATAGTTTAAAGTAAAATTGGGCAATAATAGGGATTTAGAATAAAATTGGGCAATTGAGTATTTTTTAAAGTGAGGTAGAATTATTGAAGACAAGTTATGGTTAGTTTATAAAAAAAATAAGATGGAACAGTGATGTGGTAAGTTGTAAAAAAGGAGATAGATTCTGTAGATATTTAATACAATTAAGACTATGAGGTAGAATGGTCGTTGAGTACAACAATGACAATTAAAAGTAGTTGGAGTATTATAATTTTAGGGGGGCACAAATTTATGACAATATAACACTAACGGTGGACTATGGGTATTATCTGCACTTTACTCTGATTCTGTTAGTCCAGCCTCACTTAGGAATGTTTTAAGGTCATGTTCTGCTATATTCCTCCATTTTAGGTGCCTTAAGTTGAAATCCCCCAGGAGTAAGATGTTGGGTGCAGGAGCTGGAAGATTTTCCAGACAGTGGTCAATTTTTAACAGCTGTTCCTGGAATTGCTGGGATGTTGCATCCGGAGGCTTGTAGACTACCACAATGACTAGGTTTTGGTTCTCGACCTTTACTGCTAAAACTTCCACTACATCATTTGAGGCATTTAGCAGTTCTGTGCAAACAAGTGACTCTGCAATGTACAGGCCAACCCCCCCCTTTTGCCTGTTCACTCTGTCACATCTGTATAGGTTTTAACCTGGGATCCATATTTCGTTGTCCAAGTGATCCTTTATGTGGGTCTCAGTGAAAGCCGCGAACATTGCCTTTGCCTCTGCAAGCAGTCCACGGATGAAAGGTATTTTGTTGTTTGTTGCTGGCTTTAGACCCTGTATATTTACAAAGAAGAATGTCATCGGACTGGTGGTATTGTTGGTACTGGGGGGGGGATTTTTTTCCGGCATTAGTATCTGTATCTGTTGGTTTGGAGTGGAGGCCATCGACTGTGGCTCCACTCCAGGAATGACTGGATTTGGTGTACGATTTCTGCCATTTCCTGCGTTTTTTTTCCTTCCTGGCACTAAAAAACCTCTCCCTCTTGAGTGGCTGTGGCTACCCAGGTTTTCCCATGGCCTGGATGTTTTGTATCTTTTTGTACCCTTTAGATGGTGTGCCTGGCAATTTAAGTTATAGCAGTCTTTCCTGTAGTGAAGAGGTATATATTTCAGGGTGAAAAAGCTTACAGGAAGGGAGTGTGCATTTTCCTGTTGTCATATGGGCATGGCATTTTCTAGGATGGTCATAGTTGCACGTCCCGTCTGTTTTTCCAGATTTCCCATGTCTGCAGATACCAAGTGCATAGTATGTGCACAGGCTTGGTTTCCGTTTGCCTTGGGTTTCTGTGACAGTATTCCCTGTTGGTGCATGTTTCCCTGTCTTATTCCTATCCTCCCTAGCACCAACAATGGAGCTCCCACCAGTTGTTTTTGGTAATATATCCTCACTATAGCTAGTGGAGTCCTCTTGTATGTTAAGTTATTGACTGTATGCTAATTGAACATTATATTACCTCATCTTGACAGTTCCCTTCACGAGTCCCCCCAATATCTCAGCCTTGGAGGCCCACTGCCAAGCACACGATTGTCCTGTCTTCAAGTGTTCCACTAAGGATGGTTCCTGTATCCAGTGGAAATGGTATGATATCAACGGTGAGTGTTTCTCAGTTACCAAGAGTCATACATCATATATATATACAATAAGATCACAGTAAACAGGTGATGATATTACAATATGCAGAACGACCACTGTGAAATAAGCCATATTTGCTTAGTTTTCTTGGGTTATCAAGAGTTTTTAGGGAGTTTTACTGGGTTTATTGTTCCAATTTGTGTCAGTTTTAAGCTATACCGTCCATGATAACACGAATCTTCTTTATGTAAAGTGATTCTTCCTGTGCCAACCCCAACAGAACAGTTGATCAACTACTCCTCCTTCTGTGGGAACCTGGTTGACCAGACCAAGGTAGAATCCCCCGTCCCTAAGACGTCCGGGTGTTGGAGACAGATGATGGGAACTTACATGAGAGAGGTGTGTGTGTGTGACACTAACTACTGTAACCAGGGTGCCAGGCACTCTGTGGCCCTTCTGTTGCTGTTGCTGTTGCCTGTGGCCGCACAGACTGCTGTCACAACCTTAATGATACTTTAATGATATGGTTGTCCCGTAGCTGGGCTGGTAGTGTACTCAGCTCTCACATTGTCTGTGGTTCGATCCCCAGTTACGGGTGGAAGCATTGGGCGTGTTTCCTTAGGACATCTGTTGTCCCTGTTCACCTAGTAGTATGTAGGTACCTGGGTGTTAGCCGACTGGTGTGGGTCGCATACTGGTGGACAAAAATAACCAAAGTTGCCCGAAATGCTCATGTCAAAGCCCAGCCCTATCTGAGGTATACCACCACCCCCAGAATGCCACCCACACCAGTTGATTAACAACCAGGTACCTACTTACTGCTAGGTGAGCAGTAACAGCAGGTGTAAGGAAACACACCCAATGTTTTCACCCGTAACGGGGATCGAACCACAGACACCCAGTGTGTGAGGTCAGTGCGCTACCAACCCAGCTACAGGATTGCTTTCATATTGCACGTCACTGATGTCAGCTACGTCCGCATAAGTTGTATAATGTACTTGTATAAATAAAGATTATCATTATTATTGGCAGGCTCATTAGCTAGGGTAGGTCAAATTTTACCCAGTATCATATATCATTATTATTATGGGGTAGGTCCAATTCCTTTGATTAAGAGCCCTTCAGTTGTATCAAGGGCACTTCCCTTCATACTTTGAAGGGTATATCTGTTAAAACTGTTAAAATAGACGCTGTTAACAGTTGATACAAACAGATCAACGGTTTAAGTAGTCTCTGTTGTGATTAAGTTGATGAGAGTGTAGTATAATTAATAATTACCTGTTGCAGTTATCTGTTTTTGCCTGTTGTTATTCCTGTTGTAATTACCTGTATTCTTTAACATAACACTGTGATAATGTTAATGTGTGTCTGGGAAACATTGAAGTCAACATTCAATATATATTCTTCATCATCCTGACCTCTGGTTTTAAACAGGTAATTTTTATTCAGTTGTATTGTTATACAACAGACGAGAGTCGAGGTAATAGGTGATCTGAGGTGATCTGAGTGACCACATAGCCAATCAGATCATCTCTCGGTTTTCCTACAGTTTGGAATTAACATTAAACTCACTACATTTTCGTAGCTGGGTTGGTAGCGCATACAGCTCACACACTGAGGTCCGTGGTTTTCGATCTCCGGTACGAGTGTAAACATTACGACGTGTTTCCTTAAGAAAACCTGCTGTCCATGCTCACCTAACAGCAAAATAGGTACCTGGGGTTAGTTGACGGTGTGGCTCGCATCCTGGGACAAACCTGACCTAATTTGCGAGAAATGCTCAGCAAAACAAGCGCTGTCTAATATAGTAAGTCAGTGATGTCAGCTATGGTCTGTATAAGTTGTATCATGTACTTGAATAAAGATTATTATTATATTCTATATACACTTTTAAACAAATACATGTACTTAACATATTCACTATATAGAATTCTTCTTGATTCGCCGGTACTCTCCCCGGCCCGGGCCTTTTCCAAGGGGGGCCCAGCCTTGGTTTTCCCTTTCTGGGATATCTCAATTAATGTCTGCCATGGGAGGAGGTACAAGTACCTTCTCATCGCGAGACCAACTGTCCCCAGGCCAAGCCACATTTCCCCCCGCCCTCACGGGGCTCGTAGGGAAAAGCTAGGCCTCTCTGGCCTGCCACCCCACCTCAAAGGGGCTAATGGGAATGGCAGTCTTGTGAGCTGCAGGCTCGGGCTCAGGTACCTACCCTGCCCTAGCATGGTGTCCATCTAGTGTACCAGTTTTAAATTAAAGAAATTTTAAGGGTTGAACAAAAACTTCAATGTAACATTGATAATTATTGACTTTATTGCATTAATAAAGGTAATTATAAAAGTGTTTTTATTTCACCTAAAAAATTTAAACATTTGCTATAATAATAATAATAAAAATAATAATAATAATAAAATAATAAAATAAAATAATAATAATAACAAAAACAATAACAACAACAATAATAATAATAATAATAATAATAATAATAAATAAATAATAATAATAATATTATTATTATTATTATTATTATTATTATTATTATTATTAATGTTCTGCGAAAGTTAAAGGGCCCTCTTGGGTACATTATTATCAGTAACCTGAATACTCACCTTAAATAGGGTTTTAAAGCCGGTTTAAAACCCTTGTTTAAAACCAGGTTTAAAGCCGGATTTAAAGTCAAGTTTAAAGTCAGATTAAAACCCATATTTAAAGAAAGGGTTTTAAACCCAGATTTAAAGCAAGGTTTAAAGCCGGAATTAAAACCGGGAATTAAAGCCGGATTTAGAGCTGGATTTAAAGCCGGTTTAAAGTTAAAACTAACAGAAGTGATCATCTCGATGACAAAAAAAAAAAAAAATATTTAATATACAGATTTTCCCGTAAATTCATTGACGGGAAGATTTATAATGACGGAAAATTGTTGAGTTGTAGTTGTTTCTTGTTTCCGTGTTCTTCTCCTGTTCTTCATTTTGGTGTTCTTCACTGTAGTTCAATTCTGGCGTTCTTTCCCCTGTAGTTCATTTTGGTGTTTTTCACTGTAGTTCATTCGGTGTTCTTCAAATGTTTCTTCATTCTGGTGTTCTTCACTGTTCTTCATTCTGGTGTTTTTTTCACTGTAGTTCATTCTGGTGTTCTTTACTGTAGTTCATTCTGGTGTTTTTCACTGTTCTTCATTCTGGTGTTCTTTTAAATGTACTTATTTCTGATGTTCTTCACTGTAATTCATTCTGTTCTTCACTGTACTTCATTCTGTTCTTCACTGTACTTATTTCTGGTGTTCTTCACTGTTGTTCATTCTGGTGTTCTTCACTGTTCTTCATTCTGGGTTCTTCATTGTTCTTCATTCTGTGTTTTTTCACTGTTTTTTCATTCTGGTGTTCTTCACTGTAGTTCTTCTGGTGTTCTTCACTGTTCTTTATTCTGGTGTTCTTCACTGTAGTTCATTCTGGTGTTCTTCACTGTATTTCAAATTCTGGGGTTCTTCACTGTACTTATTTCTGGTGTTCTTCAACTGTAATTCATTTTGTTCTCACTGTAACTTCATTCTGTTCTTCACTGTACTTATTTCTGGTGTTCTTCACTGTTGTTCATTCTGGTGTTCTTCACTGTAGTTCATTTCTGGGGTTCTTCACTGTAGTTCATTCTGGTGTTCTTCACTGAAGTCATTCTTGTGTTCTTCACTTTAGTTTTATTCTTGTGTTCTTCACTGTATTCATTCTTGTGTTCTTCACTTGTAGTTCATTCTGGTGTTCTTCACTGTAGTTCATTCTGGTGTTCACTGTAGTTTTATTCCCGGTGTTCTTCACTGTAGTTCATTCTGGTGTTCTTCACTGAAGTTCATTCGGTGTTCTTCACTGTAGTCATTCTGGTGTTCTTCACTATAGTTCATTCTGTGTTCTTCACTGAAGTTCATTCTGGGGTTCTTTCACGAAGTTTATTCTGGTGTTCTTCACTGTAGTTCATTCTGGTGTTCTTCACTGTAGTTCATTCTGGGTTCACTATAGTTCATTCTGGTGTTTCTCACTGTAGTTAATTTCTGGTGTTCTTCACTGTAGTTATTCTGGGGTTCTTCACTGTAGTTCATTTTGGTGTTCACTATAGTTCATTCTGGTGTTCTTCACTGTATTCATTCGGTGTTCTTCACTGTAGTTCATTCTGGTGTTCTTCACTTAGTTCATTCCGGTGTTCTTCACTGTAGTTCATTCTGGTGTTCTTCACTGTATTCATTTTTTGGTGTTCTTCACTGTAGTTCATTCTGGTGTTTACTATAGTTCATTCTGGGGTTTTTTCACGTAGTTCATTTTGTTCTTCACTGTACTTCATTCTGGTGTTCTCACTGGGAGTTCATTTCTGTGTTCTTCACTGTACTTATTTCTGGTGTTTTTCACTGTAGTTTCATTTCCGTGTTCTTCACTGTATCATTTCTGGGTTCTTCAAATGTTAGTTCATTTCCGTGTTCTTCACTGTACTCATTTCTGGTGTTCTTCACTGTAGTTCATTTCCGTGTTCTTCACTGTACTCATTTCTGGTGTTCTTCACTGTAGTTCATTCTGGTGTTCTTCACTTTAGTTCATTCCAGTGTTCTTCACTGTAGTTCATTCTGGTGTTCACTATAGTTCATTCTGGTGTTCTTCAGTGTAGTTAATTCTGGTGTTCTTCACTGTAGTTCAATTTGTTCTTCACTGTAGTTAATTCTGGTGTTCTTCACTGTAGTTCATTTTGTTCTTCACTGTAGTTAATTCTGGTGTTCTTCACTGTAGTTCATTTTGTTCTTCACTGTAGTTAATTCTGGTGTTCTTCACTGTAGTTCATTTTGTTCTTCACTGTGGGAAATTTTTTGGTTTTCTTCCTGTGTTTATTCTGTTCTTCCCTTTATTTCATTTTGTTTTCACTGTAGTTAATTCTGGTGTTCTTCAGGGGTAGTTTTTTGTTCTTCACTTATTTTTTGGGGTTCTTCATTTGTTTTTAATTCGGGTTTTTTTTGTATTTTCATTTTGTTCTTCACGGTATTTTTTGTGTTCTTCCCCTGTATTTTTAATTTTGTTCTTCATGTATTTTAATTTTGTTTTTCACTGTAGTTAATTTTTGTTCTTAAACTGAAAGTTTTTTTGGGGTTTTTCCCCTGTATTTTATTTTGTTTTTCACTGTAGTTCATTTTTTTTCTTCACTTTTAGTTAATTCGGTTTTTCTTCACTGTAGTTCTTTTGTTCTTCACTTACTTCATTTTTGGTGTTTTTTCACGTATTTTAATTTGGTTTCCTTCCTGTATTATTTTTTTCCTTCATAACCTTTGGGGACCACGTATTTTTGGGTTTTTTTCCAACATTATTTTGGGTTTTTCAAAACATTAAAATTTGGGTTTTTTTCCACTACATTTTGTTTTCACAATTTTTTTTGGTTTTAAATTATTTTTTTGTTTTAAAACATTAAATTTGGGTTTTCTTACAATTTTTGTTTTCACTACTTTTAATTTTTTTTAGTTTTTATTTTTTCTTTTTTTGGTTGTTTTCCTTTTTTTCAAAAGGGGTTTGGTAAATCCCATTATTTTTGGTGATCAAAACCCTTTATTTTGGGGTGTTTTCACTCTTATTTGGGTGATCACAACTTTAATTTTTGGGGGAACCACAAACATTATTTGGGTTGGTCACTACATTATTTGGGATCCCCAAACCATTATGTTGGTGATCACTAATTTTGTTGGGGACCCAAAAAACAAAAATGTTTTTTGAAACTAAAAAAAATTTGGTGATCACTCTACATTATTTTGGGTGTCACACATTTGTTGGTGATCCCAACTTTAAATGTTGGGGGATAACTAAAATTATTTGGTGATCCCCACTTTAAATTATTTTGGGTGATAACAAATTTAATGTTTGATCCCATACATTCTGTTGGTGATCACTACATTATTTTGGTGATCACTCCCTTTTTTTGGTGACCCAATACTTTTATGTTTTTGATCATCCCATTATGTTGGTGTTTCCATTTACATAGTTGGTTTCACACATTATTTGGTTGATCACTAATTATGTTGGGGGAACACAAAAAATGTTGGTGAAAATCATTACTTATGTTGGTGATAAACCCCTTATGTTGGTGATCACACATTATTTTTGGTGATAACCACATTTATGTTGTAAATCATTTACTTTAAAGTTGGGATCATACTTTATGTTGAAAATCACTAAAATTTTTTGGGTGATCACTACATTTTTAGGGTTTGGTGATCACTAATTATTTTTGGTGTCCCAAACTTTTTATTTTGGTGATCACTACTTATTTTGGGTTGACCCACTCCCCAATTATGTTTGTGATCATAATTATGTTTGCCCCTTTTTGGTAACCACCATTAATTTGGGTTGATCACTAAAATTTAAATTTTGGGGGATCACACTTTAAAGTTGGGGGATCACTACTTTAAATGTTGGGGGATCCCTACTTTATTTTTGGTAAACACAACATTATTTTG